CCCCAAAACCCCAAAACCCCAAAACCCCCTCTAACATTTATTTTATAGAAAATTTAAAATATTTAAGAAGTTACAAAATAAATCTATTGAAAATGTATTAAAATAGCTCAAACAATCAATAATAATCTGGTTATCTCTCGAGAGTTCCTACTCAATAATATATCTCAACGTAGAACACCACAATGTCCTCTCCCTCTAACTATGGAGGCAAATTCAACATTGGAGCAGGGAGTGGAGGACCATAATCTGGACTTAGTCCTGAATAGAAGAAGAGAATGGAAAGAGAAGCTAGGCATTAAAGGGAAAGAGAAGAGACTATGAAGTTAGGAGATTATAATCCTTTTGGAAGAGGAGGAGCTGGTGCACCTCTGAGAGATGCCTAAGGAAACATTATAACTACCAGAAAAGTAGGATTCGCAATTGATGCTAATAATATTGCGAAGGATCCAGAGTAAACTAGGAAAACATATGAGTAGGAATTGCGAGAGCAGATTAAAATGAAGAATGAAAAAGTATAATAAGCAAAAAGAGCTGAGAGGATGTAAGATGAAATGGAAGAGAGAAGAGTCAAGGAGGAACTGGATATGCTTAATCAAAGAGATAGGTAGTCTATACTAAAGGAAAAAGGCGGAGTTGCAGCTCAGACCTCTGCACTCTCAAGAGATTATAGCATGCCAAAACTGATGAATAATTTAGAAACAAAATCTGTTTTGTCTGTGTAGTTCAATGATCCAGGAAAATAATCGATATCACCGCCTTCATATGAGCCATAGAGGTAGAGACCAGCAAGTGAATTCCAAATGGATGGAAATAGGGGAATGATACATTCAAGAAGTGAAGTCAACGTTGGTCTTGGCTATAAAGGCACATATTCTTATGATATACAGAGATAAGGTTATGACCCTAGAGATGTTTAGGTCAGATTTATGTCCAACTAGTTCGATGATTAGATGCATTGAATTAAATTTGAAATGCAACAATAATAAGACTAGCTCTCATAGCAATTACTGAACCTGAGAACTGAAGCATCTAAGATAAAAAGCGATACCAGATAAACTGAATAAGATCTGCAAAGGATATAGGACCATATAACGAACAAAAATGATTGGCATTCTTATTACGAGCAGGAACTCTCAAGAGCTCTTAATATGCCAATATTTAAGAAAAATTAGTAAGGTACAAATTAAAGCCAGCAATATTTATTCCCTCAAATGAATAATTAAAATGATGATAACTTACAAAAGAACAAATGGGTTAGTCTGCTGTAGAATAAGTCAAGCGTACTTAATAGATAGGTCAGTTCAAGGGAATACCCTCAAAGCAAGGGACATGCTTTGAGATCTGCTGCTGTCTCCTTATTTGATGGAAAGCCGCCTATGAAATTTATGTAAGGTGCAGGAAGTTGGGATATCATGGCTGGTGGAATTAATGACAATAATCTTATTACCGAGAGTAAAATAGTCCCTATAGACTAATACTCAAGTGTATACAATCCGTAATTCAACAAAGTAGAGGATGAATCAGCTAACCTAGATTAAGGAGTTGGTTCTAAATTCATTGAAAATGATAGAGAGTATTATGATCAAGCTGATTAGGCAATAAGAGAAATTCAGGAGCTAAACAAGCTTTCTGAAATGACTCATAAAAAAGAAGAAGTAACTCAAATGAAAAGGTATGCCTCTCAAGCCTAGCTAAATCAGAAACTTAAAACGATGGACATTGTAAACTACAAGCCACCTAAGATAGCATCATATAAAGGAATATAAAACAGACTGAAAAAGGATAAAGAGGGATTGAATAGCGTGACTTTAGTCAAGGATTTACTCCAGCAACCGCTAATGAACAGACATGGAAAAGAACATGATCCTAATGCTCTTGACTAAATTATGGATAAAAATGAAATGATAAGGATGGAAAATTACCTGAAATAGAAACAAAGTTAAAGGGAAGCTGATTATAAACTATCTTCTCAACAATAATCGCAACTTAATTCTAAAAGATCAGGATAACCAATGTAAATTTACAAAACAGATAACAATATGCATAAGACCTAAGTGGAGTTAAACATGATATTAGATAAAGTTGCAGACGATGAAGATGAGTATTGGGGTAGAGAAATCAATGGGTAAATTCCTAGTGAGCAGCCAACAGATAGATAAGGAGGAGGATTTATTACAAATATGTATGAGCAAAGTCTTAAGAACTTTAGCGAATTGGTACCACCTATAGAGTAATCTAAATTAGACTTTGATGATTAATGAAATTAAAGGCAAAATCAAGAATTTAAAGCTATTATTAAAATCTATTAATCTTAATTCATAACTATATCCAAAACAAAGTTATTATTCTCATTCAAAAGAGAGGGAGCTTAGTGCTCACTCCAAAGTGGCATCAGTATCTCTTCTTAAATAAGGTTAATTTTAGCCATTATTGCTAGAGTTATCACTTGGATCTGCTGCTGCGACTATACTATTATTATATAGAGCTACAATATTGTTAGTGTTTTCTGTTACTTCAACGTTTACATCCTGGCTATTCTGGTTTATCTCGCCTACTATAGCGCTAAGTTCATTACCATCTGGGATTATAGAACCTCCATGTGAAGACTCATATCTGCCCTATTCTTTATCAATCTCCTCTTCTTCATCTAAATCCTCATCAAACGGGCTTACGTAGCCTTCTTCAATCTTTTTAGCCTGCCAGTATGAGTAAATAATCAGACAAAAATATTAATCAAGAGCAAAAGAAGCCAAAGATTAGATCATATCAGAAAAGGGTAGCTGGATAAGAGTGACCATCAACAATGAAGAGAATATATTTAAAAAGCTCTGCAAAAATTTCACCCAGAAATATGTTCCCAAATACATAGATTTTAATCTCTTAAAGAATACTACTATTCCAACTATGCCAACCACTGAGTATCTTGCTAAATCACCAATAAAGACAACAACTATCGAAATTATTGCCTAGCCTTACACACTTCCATCTGTAAGTTTGGACGGTGCTTGGACTGTCTAGGTTTATAATTAAACTCCTCTGTCGTAGCCTGTGGTAGCATAAATTACAAGCAGTACAGTCGATGCAAATATCTTCAAAATGTCTATTATCAATGAAAAGAAAGTCCCTTATCTAAGAGTGAGGCATATACAGCTAACCCTTATTCTCATTTTTAAATTAGTTATAATTACATTAAGATTGATTTTTTTCAAGCAGCTGATCTGCCAAATAGATATGATTTCATTTAATTTTGTAATCAAATTAAAATCTACAATGTTTAGGCCTTATCATAAAAGCCTTCCAAAAGTAAGATTTGAAGACAGAATTGAATAACTACACTCCTATAAAATTCCATTATGTAAAGCCTTGCATATCAGAGAGATAATAGATAACTAATTCATTTTGGTCGCTTTTGATATCTAAGTGAGCAATACTGAAAAGAAAATAAAAAAAGAAACAAAGCTGCTTAAAATCCACGAGAATGAGAAGATTGAGGAATTTTATGATTTTACAGCAAATGGATATTCTGTTTCTAAGGCAATCATGATTGGGTAGAGATACCTAGTCTTTATCAATAATGAGACTTAACTTATCGTTCTAGATAATAAAGACTTTAATAGTTCTGTTGGAAAATATGATCTTATAGGCTGTAGTAACATAAAACTTATTCCTTTAAAGAAATCTTACTTCATGGCTATTTCTTTAAAATACCAACTATTCAAGTTTGAGTACCCAACTATAAGGAAGCCACACAGAGATTTCAGATTAAGATTAGTGAAAGAGATGTTGTGCTTCGATTTCTAAATAACAACACTAAAATTTCTTAGGTTCAAACAGCAAGAATGTACCATAGCTAAATAATCTATGATAATAGAGCATAAAGATTAGAAAGATAAGTAGGTTTGCTTGTTGAGAGCTAATTTCAAGACTAAAAAGGTACAGAAAATAAGGTATATACTAAAAGGTCTAAAAATTTACGACATAATAAAGATAAGAGGTTCTAAATATATCTATATTGCTATTGTAATAGGGGATGGAGTTAAAACAATTATAGTTAATATAAAAAAGCATAGCTACTATGAAGTTTTCTGGCTTAATGGGGCAACAAAGGTTAGACAACTTCCAACAACTAATAAATCTAGACTGCCTTATATTGTAGTTTCTTAGTTTGATTTCTTGTATATTAGGAATATTTGGAATCATCAGATACTTTATAAGCTTAGAGATAGCTCTTGCCTTTAAGCTGGTTCTAGTTCTCAAAACTATAATATCATGAATAAGTGCCAAGAAGGGATTATGATGCTTAAGGAAGATAAAGATAAGCTTTTGCTATAGAGAATTAATTATTGTTTTGATGATCTTTGAAGATTATTAACTCTTGTTTATTTATTCGAATATTCCAATTTTATAGGCCAATTTTAGAATTCTGGGGTTTTGGGGTTTTGGGGAAGAATATGATGCACTTAAGCATTAATTTGAAAGATAGCTTAATCTCAATGGTGATTAATAAGAATTAACTAATAATAATGATATGCACCCTTAGAATTAGGATAAGATTGACATTGTATTAGGACATAAGTAATAAAATAATGAGTCTAAAAGAGAGATTAAGTTTGTCAGATATGATTTAAGTGATACTCAGTATGATGAGGGTTAAACTGTGCAAAATGCTCTTGATTTTATCTCAGGTCTTGCTTAGTTCAGAGAAGATTAGAAGAAGCCAAAGTAAGATAGAATGACTCATAAGGAAGATGAGATAATTTAGGATCTAGTGGATTAATTCGATTATAAAATGCAAATAGACAATTTCTCAGATAATTAAGTTGATGAAACTGTGAATTTAGATTAGTTCAAGCCCAAATTTGTATCTAAAAAGAATAGACAGAAAAATTTAGTGAATAAAAAAGATAATGACATTTTGATGAATGAGGTGTAATTAAAACCTAGTAAAAATGTGATGTTAGAATACGATTAAGAAGTTCTTGAATAGTCTGACAAAAACTATAATTTAGATAGTGATAATGTAAGTATGAGCAGTTAAGGCATCAAGTTTGGTAGAAGGACTAAAACAAACAAGATAAGAAGTAGCCAAGACTGATTTAAGATTTAATAATAAAATTTGTGAATTTTATAATTGTGCTTACGTGTGACACCTTGGGGTTTTGGGGTTTTGGGG